CTAAAGGAGATCAGTCCTGGGTGTTCATTGGAAGGACTGATGCTGAAGCTGAAACTCCAATACTTTGGCCACCTCATGCGAAGAGTTGACTCATTGGAAAAGACTCTGATGCTGGGAGAGATTGGGGGCACGAGAAAAAGGGGACGACAGAGGATGAGATGGCTGGATGGCATCTACGACTCGATGGACATGAGTTTGAGTAGACTCCAGGACTTGGTGATGGACAGGGAGGCCTGGCATGCTGTGATTCATGGGGTCGCAAAGAGTCGGACATGACTGAGCGACTGAACTGAACCTTACGGGTAATTAAAATTTTTCTTTACATCTGCATTACCGTAATGATTGTTACTTCTGTAATATAAATATTACTTGATATAAAATAAATGACCCAGTTGAGAAAACTAGCTTAAAATTGACAGAATAAGGAATTCCCTTGGTGGTCCTTGGTTAGGACTCGGTACTTCCACTGCCATGGGCCCTGGTTCAATCCCTTGTCAGGGAACTAAGGTCCAGCAAGCTGTGTGGTGAGGCCAAAGAAACCACACACACAAAACACAACAAACAAACAAACAAAAAATCACAGAATAACCTAAACCTTGCTCTCAAGGTCCCCACAGCTAAGTCCCAACCTACTTTCATGAAGAGATTCTAGTCAGTTCCCTATGCTCAAGAAGAATATATCAAAGAGATTAGCAAACCCAGGAGTTGGACTCAGCCTGCTTGGGGTTACAACCACAGCTCTCCCTCTTACTATTCAGGTGAGGATGGGCCAACAGGATTGTGTTCCCTGGCTCCATCTTATCTCTAAAGCAGAAAAACAGCAGTACTGATGTACACAGGCAGTGAGATAGAAACGTGTTCATCTGTATAAAGCTTTTGGAATGGAACTTAAGTGACCAAGGCTTAGTTACAATCATTACTCATTACTCATTCATACGTTCTACAATTTATGTATCTTAAATAGAAGAATGCTCATTACTCATTCATACGTTCTACAAGTTATGTATCTTAAATAGAAGAATGCCAAGTTCTACTCCCGTGGGTCTCTGTTGCCTCTTCCTTTGTGTAGTGCTTTTTGAGAAGTCAGGGCTGGGGAAGGAAAGAAGGTTGCGAAATCCCAGGATTGTGTTTGCATCCTCTATATTTCACACCCTCTTGTACCAGCTAGAAGAAACCCTCCCTTTTCTAAACAAGTCCGGAGTCCAGGACAATTCAGTTTCCTGGGCTCACAGAAACTCACTGTGAGAATCCGGGTGCTTCTGAATTACAGTAGGATTAATAACAATCATGGGTCAGGCAATTGTTGACCTTTTGCTATCTCTTTTTTCTCCAATACTGTATTAAGAATTACTTTTATTTCTCTTTTAATGAACAGCAACGGAGGCACAAAAGGGTTAAGCAACTCACCCAGTGTGACAGAGTATGAAGCCAAAGAGCGAGCTTCATAAGTGGGAGGTCAGGTTAGTGGTGCAGAAAGCCGAGGAGACCCTCAAATCCCAAAAAGCACAACCTGAGCCCGCCCCATCCCGGGACGCTACCAAACGCTCCGCCCAAGGGCACGAACATTATCACTCTTGGCCGTCAAACCTCTGCTTCTAGCCGCTGCTCCTCTTTCTCTCCAAATGAAAAGTCAGGAGCTGCCGGCCCCAAGCGCATTTCGGGGGCGTTTGAATGGATCGTGAAAAGCAGACCTGAAACACCATCATCAAGCGAAAGATGGCTGCTACGTCGTCCTCCTGGGGCCGAAGGGCCTGCGAGTACCCGGAGCTCCTGGACTACACTTCCCAGAATTCCGCGGGGAGATATTCGCTGTCCAGCTTTATTATACCTGCAGTATGCAAGCCTACTGGAGAAGGAAATGGCAACACATTCCAGTATTCTTGACTGGAAAACCCAATGGATGGAGAAGCCTGGTGGGCTACAGTCCATGGAGTCGCAAAGAGTCGGACACGACTGAGCGACTTCACTTTATGAGAACCTACACGGAGCTTTGGACTACACATCCCAGAATGCAAAGGGAGTGCGTGTGGGCCCTCCACACTACCGCCCTCTTGGACTACACTTCCCGCGAAGGTCGTAGCGGAAAACCGTCAAAGCGTCACCCCCTGATGAGGAAGTGGCCAGTGCCCCTGGTTTTCACTTCCCTTAACCCCTAAGGTCTCAGGCAAATGTCTTACCATTCTACCGCATCAGCCTTAGAACAGGCTTACACGCTTAAAGAAGAAGCACTTTGGACGTGTTCAAGGGCCTAAGTGACATAAATGCATTACCAGCCACAGAGGCTTCCTGGTAAACCCGAATTTTACTGTTTAAATAAGAGAAGGAAACTGGGCTTTCTTTGGAACGGGCTTAAGTCAAAAGTAAAAATACCTCAATCCCTGAAATGTGACCAAACATGCTATGTCCTTACTGGTTCCACATCGAGAGGGTCCTCTGTTGTAATTCTGTGTTCCCTCCTCACGCACATCTTTTCAACAGGAAAAGTTAAAGTCGCTCAATCGTCTCCGACTCTTTGCGACCCCATGGAGTATATGGTCCATGGAATTCTCCAGGCCAGAATACTGGAGTGGGTAGCCTTTCCCTGCTCCAGGGGATCTTCCCAACCCAGGTTTCCCACATTGCAGGCGGATTCTTTACCAGCTGAGCCACATATGTAAAGAATGTACTGGCAATGCAGCAGATGCAGGAGACACGGGTTCGATACCCGGGTCGGGAAAATCCCCTGGAAGAGGGCATGGCAACCCACTAAAGAGTTCTTGCCTGGAGAATTCCATGGACAGAGGAGCCGGTCAGGATACAGTCCACAGGGTCGCAAAGAGTCAGACACCACTGAAACAGGTGAGCACACTGTATCTGTATCCACTTAGTTTCCAGCTGCTGAATTTCCACTCTCCATGTTCTATATTTATGGTTAAAGTACAGCAAAAAGATTCAATGGCTGAAGCATAAATTTATCTGTGTATGCAAAACAATCAATTTTTTTTTTTAATTTTGAAATTGGCTTCTGGGATCCTATCATAATTTTGATCTTTATATGCCTTATGACAATATAGAACAATCATATTATGAGCTGTTAACTACAAGGGATATTTAGTAGTAATTTTTTCAAACTCTATTGTAATGTCCTGCTTTGATGGTACTATTGAATGAAAAAACTGTAACATGAAGTCATAAAATGAAAAAATACCACAAAATGCTCCTAACTATGGAAAACCACTATGGAAGAGTATCCCTTGACATATGATCTTATGCATGTCTACATATAGATGTATGTATGCATGCACACACACACACACACAGAGATTCAATTATACTCTGAAGGTTACAATCTGTGACCTCTCAAAGCCCATATTGTGTATCTCTTGCCATTATATTTGCCAGAATTTTAATGTCTTCAGATTAATATACAAATATAGCAAAACTCAAATTCCTACAGCTGTACACTTATTTCCATTAAAAAAAAATTCAGTAACATCATTGATGTGGTGCTTATCTTTCTCATATTTTAACTTCATAATCAAAAGCATTCAATTATATGATTTTTAGATCAAAGAGATCTATAACCTATATACTGATACATACTCCTTTCCCAAAACCATGCTTTACTGCTACCAATAGGTCAGAGGACATAAATGTCAGTCTTGCCTCAATAATACATTTAATAATTTTGTCAAATTCCTACAAGTTTCCTGGGTATTTTCCTCATGGATGTGTGTGAAGAATATGGCATAGCCCCTAACTGGCAAGTTTTGACAGAAGAAAAGCTACAGTATTTAGTAAGCAAACATTTCAAAGTCTGGATAAAAATGAAAGGAATTAGAAATCAGTAACTTCAAGGTCGACCAATAAAATTTTTTCTAGTGACAATTTTTGTGACATTTTCAAAATGTTACAGTAACTCCTGCCTTAACATTGAGTGACTCACAAAAAATCAATTGTACAGTTACCTATTGTTGCAAAGTTAGTAACATTTTCAGTTTGTACTGTCAGAAAAAAAATCAAAAGACAGTTCAATTTATAGTAGACTCAATCCTTGGAAAACTAGACAGGGCCTCAGACAATAACCCTACTTGAGAACAGAGGCTGTGGGAGGCAAGGAGCCAGTTGCAATAGGCTCATATCATATTAATACTGCAGATTATAATATCAAGTGGTTTTCTGTACTTCAACAAATGATCACTTCCTGAATTAATTTTACTTGGTAGCTTTCCTCCTCTGAAACAATTTTCATATAGTGCACATTTCCCCCTTTTGGTTTATTTAACATACATGAACTGAGCACTCATACAAGCAAGAGTTGATGTTAAGGTTGTGTAGATTCAACATCCAAGTCCCTGCCCTCATGGAGCTTACATTCTCTTGGACATCAGTTTTGACAAGCCCATCCTTACACTTTCATTAAAGGCAAGACCAAACTCTTCCTCTCTAAGTGCTATCACCCTAAGTGGTATCTAACAAATGTCAAAGTTCTGAATGCAACCCTTACTGCACCACTCAGAGGAGGTTTCTGCTGTGTGGTCTGGTGAACACTGGGATATGCTCAGCTACTGCTTCAACACCCAATGCCTTCCCTCCTATGAGACCTGACACTTGCAAGAACTCAGGGTTGCACGTGAGTTTTTTGAAACAACCATTTTGTGGAACTTCTTTCCTCTGACAGTTCCCTGATGTTCTTACCACTCTCATCACTTTCACATAATACAGCTCCAGTATGAATTTTGTGATGACTTACAAGATTGGAGCGCCAACTGAAGCTCTTACCACACGTCTCACACTTGTAAGGTTTCTCCCCTGTGTGAACTCGCCTGTGATACTGAAGCTGTGAAGACCGACTGAAGACTTTACTACACACGTCACATCTGTAGGGCTTCTCTCCAGTGTGGACACTCTGATGAAGCTGAAGACTTGAGGCCTGACTGAAGTGCTTCCCACACTCCCCACACTTATATGGTTTCTCTCCTGTGTGGACCCTCTGATGCATGTCGAGGTTCAGGCTCCACTTAAAGCCCTTCCCACACTCCTCACATTTGTATGGCTTTTCTCCAGTGTGGACTTTTTGGTGGGCTTGAAGGTGTGAACTCCGACTGAAGCTCTTGCTACATTCCTCACATCTGAATGGCTTTTCTCCACTGTGGACTCTCTGGTGGGTCAGAAGATGAGATGCCTGACTAAAGACTTTTCCACACTTGTCACAATTGTACGGTTTCTCTCCAGTGTGGATTCTGCAGTGAATTTTAAGATCGGCTCTACGACTAAATCCCTTCCCACACTCTTCACATTTGTATGGTTTCTCACCAGTATGGATCAGCTGGTGGATCTGAAGTCGTGAATTCTGATTGAAGCCCTGCCCACACTCCTTGCACTTGTAAGGTTTCTCTACGCTGTGGGCCTTCTGATGGATTTTAAGATATGAACTCTGACGAAACCCTTTCCCACATACCTCACATTTATAGGGTTTTTCTCCTGTGTGGACAACCAGATGAACTTGATAATGGATTTTCATCCTGAAGTTCTTCCCACACTCATTGCATCTGTATGGTTTCTCTCCTGTGTGGACTCCCTGATGGGCTTGAAAACTTGAACTGTAAATGAAGCACTTACCACACACTTTACATACATATGGTTTCTCTCCTGTGTGAATTCTCCGATGGGCCTGAAATTGTGAAGGTTGAACAAAGCATTTACCACACTCCTCACATTTATAAGGCTTCTCTCCTGTGTGGACCCTCTGGTGGATATGCAGATTTGAGCTACAAGTGAAACACTTCCCACACTCCTCACATTTGTATGGTTTCTCTCCAGTATGGACCATACAATGACTGTTAAGTGCTGATCTGCGGCGGAAATTCTTACCACATATATCACATTTGAATGGTTTCTCCCCAGTGTGGATTCTCTGATGTTCCTGAAGATGTGAAGCATGAATGAAGGCCCGTCCACATTTGTCACAATTGTGAGGTTTCTCTCCCGTGTGTAATTTACAATGAACAGTAAGTGTTGATCTACGACTGAAGCCTTTCCCACACTGCTCACATCTGAATGGCTTCTCTACAGTGTGGACTTTCTGATGAATTTGCAGCTGTGAACTCTGGCTGAATTCCTTGCCACACTCATCACACTTATAGCGTTTCTCTCCCGAGTGAACTCTCTGATGAATGCGAAGTGCTGAGCTGTAACAGAAGCTTTTTCCACACTCACAACATGTATGAGACTTCTCTCCTGAGTGTATTTGTTGATGAAGATCAAAGTTGGAGAGATCACCAAAAGATTTTGTACATTCATTACACTGAGGAGGTGTCTGGCCAGTGTGAATTACAGATAGTCCGGCCCCATTCTGGCCAGAGGAGTCATGTTGGTGGTGGAATTCAGAATATTTTATCCTGGAGTCTTGACACCTGGTTAAGTCACTTGCAATGTGTCGCCAGATCTGCCAGCAGGAAAGCTCTTCATGTGGTCCTACTTCTGAAATAGTCTCCATCTCACTTTGGATCTTTTCTTCTGCAAAGACACAAAATTCAGAGATGTGGACAACTGAAGGTTCTGTTTGCTGTTTTCAAGATTTCACATTTAGGAGAGAGTATGAGACTTGAATGAATCCAGAGAATGTTCCGTTTGTCTCTTCCATTGTGTGTCATGTGCTCTGGTTTGCATGCCAGTGGAAACCAAGTGGTGGTCCAGGTTGCTCCTACCCACTACTACTAAGTGTAACAAAACCCACTGGTGTGAGCTTCCTAAATAGGTGCAAGTTAAACGTCAAAAATTTAACTTGAAAACTGGATAATTAGATGCAAACTGTTCACCTATAGACACTTTCTATTGGATTCAAAGGCAGTGTAGAATCTCAGATAGTAAACTTTATAGTTAGTAAATGATGCAGACAAAAAAGTTATAGAGATGATAAAATATGAATCAACTAGAACTTTAAGAGAAAGCAAAAACTTTTTTCCAAGTAAACAAAACTTGGAAGAAACTAAGATGCCCTTCAGCAGGTGAATGTATAAATAAAAAGTATGGTACTTCCACACAATGGAATACTATTCAGTGCCAACAAGAAATGTACTACCAAGCCAGGAAAAGATGTGGAGGAAATGTAAACACTTATTTCTAAGTTTCTAAATGGAAGCGAATCAGACAAGCATATATACTGTATAATTCCAACTATATGACATTCTAGAAAATCCAGTGCAGCCAAATAAAATAAAGTAAATAAAACTACATATTTAAAAAGAAAGAAGAACCAGCATCATCATCAACAGGAAAGGGGTCATCACATGAAATACCTGTGAAAGTGATATATATAAATCTCCAACACCCGAAATGCAGGTTTAGGTTATCACAAAGCATGCATTTCTTACCATGGTTCATGCTTTTTTTTTTTTAAAGGCCCTCAAAAACTGAGTTTAACTTCTTGAATTACTTTGCTGTACTGCAGAAATTAGCACAACATTATAATTCAACTATTCTTCGATTTATATTAAGGAAAAAAAGGAAAGAAACTAAAGTAGAAAGGAATTCAGAAAACTGACTAAATTTTAAAAACTAAAAGGAAGAAAAAAGAAAGTAATAAGATAGGCAATCATAAAAAGACAAAAAATGCTCTGCAACCTCCTTCCTTGACTCTGGTTTTTACATGACCTATAAAGTCCCATTCACACTGAGAGAAACAGAGGTCTCCCATCCCATCCATCAAACTTACAGAGTCAACAAATATTTACAGATGCCTGCCACATACTGGGCTGCTCCTGGTACTCAACAGGACAGACAAAACTCCACACTCCTGGTGATCACACACCAGGGCTGAGAGAGGGGTGATAAACAAGCAAAGTCTGTGAGATCCAGTAAGATGCAGAATGAGGAGAGAAAGGGGAGAATTTTACACAGGGTGGTCAGAGAAGGCCTCTCTCATGATGTTGGAATTGAGTGGAGACCTGAAAGCAGAAAGGGAGGGAGCTGGAAGACTAGTGGTAGAAGAGTAGGTCTGGCAGAGTTAAGGGCTCAGAGGGGAAGAATCTGCTGTGATCACAGTAACTGGCCCCCAAAGAACTCACATCTTGATTTTCGGAGCCTAAACTATGTCAGACTATGTGGCAAAGGGGAATTAAGGCTGCAGACAGGATTTAGGCTGCTGATTAGCTGACCTTAAAATGTAAGTGCACCCTCTCCTTTGGGGTGGAGTGGGAGGCTCAATGCAATCAAAAGTCTCCTATGAAGCAGAAGCGTGATGCAGGAAAAAAGCGGAAGAGGGACACGTGACAAGGGAGGACGGGGCAGAGACAAGCGATGTCGCTAGCTGTGAAGCTTGAGGAAGGTGGCCATGAGCCACTGGAAAGGCAAAGACACAGATTCTCCCCCAGAATCTCCAGAGTGAAACCATGCCACACCTCTGATCTCTGGAAGTGTAAGATGTTCAACGTGTGTTGTGTTAAGCTATGGTATTTGCAGTGATTTGCTCAGGCAGCCATGGGTGATACAGCATCCCTGTCGAGGCTGAGCCATGCGTGGTGTGCAGCATGGGTGGGAGACAAGGAGCGAGAGGAAAGGAATCAAAGGGACAGTGGGGGACCATGAGCAGATCCTGGAGGACTCCAGAAGCCACTTTAAGAGGTTTAACTTTAAGAAAAATAGGAAGATATAAAAGCTTTGGAAAAGAGGAATGGCATCACTTTCCAAAGTGATTTCCTAATGGCAGTCTTTCCTAAGCCTCACTCTTGGCTGCTACCTGGAGAACAGACTATAGGAGGGGCAGGGCAACCAGTACAAAGGTGTGTCAAAGAAGAGGTCTGGCAGTTTGGATGAGATGACAGCCAAAGGGTTGGAGAGAAGTAAAAACACATGGGAGGGCTTCTCTAAGGACCCCCATCTGCCTGGTTCTTACCTGACTTCCCTTCTCTTTGAGTTGCTGTCTTCACCACCCAAAGCCTTTTTTCCTTTTCTAAGTGGAATATGTGATATCTGAAGCGGTAACACCCTGTGAACATGCAGAGTAACATATTTAAAATGAACACACTCTGTGGCCGATTGATGTTGACGTTTGGTAGAAACCAACACAAAACTGTAAAGCAATTATCCTTCAATTAAAAGCAAATAAATTTAAAGTCAGGAAAAAAGAAAAGAAAATGAATACACTAACAGTAAAATTTACTGGAAATTAAAATTCCTGTATCTAATGTTGGTCAATGAGTCAAAACAAGCATAATGAAAATATTTTTAAGAAAATATGACCTATTTGAAAAAATACTGGAACTTCTCTAGTGGTCTAGCAGTTAAGACTCAGAGTTTCTATGCAGGAGGCACGGGTTTGATCTGTGATCAGGGAACTAAGATCCCTCATGGCCCAAGGTGCAGTCAAAAAGTAAAAAGGAAAACCAAAAAACCCCCAAAATACCAGTATTTCAAGACCTGGACACATAAATACAGTAAGTACTACAGAAACCAATTTCTCACCCGTGCCTATTTTCATTAACTCTCCCCCTCACTGGTTCTTATATGACTCACACAAATGGCCAGAGTTTTTCCTGCAATGTATTCCATTCTTCCTGACAAATTCTGATATTTTTCTCCCTTATTTTATTTTGTTAAAAAGCTTTGGCATGAAAGTCAGGTCCCCACATGCCATTTCAAGACCCCAAACGCCTTCCACATCTGAGACACAAAGCCAAACCAGGGAGATGACCTTGTTAGAAAAGGTGCCTGGGAGCTCTCTGGTGGTCCAGTGACTAAGACTCTGCATTCCCAACGCAGGGGGTGGGCCCGGGTTTGATCCATGGTCAGGGAACTAGATTCCACATAGTGCGACTAAGACTCGGAGCAGCCAAGTACATATTTTTTAAAAAAGACAGGGCGCCTGTCCTCACCCACTGAGACCAGATTCCGGAAGTTCTCCAGCATCACATCCTGGTACAGCTTCTTCTGGGCCACGTCCAGCAGCCCCAACTCCTCCTCCGTGAAGGTCACAGCCACATCCGTGAAGGTCACTGCCTCCTACAACAAACAATCTCAGCTCAATCTTTCAACCAATGTCCAGTGGAAGAGGGACTACGCCAAGAAGGAGAGGTGGTTGATGGGAAGATATTCCGGCTCCTGTGGAAATGTGTAGACTTCCCAGCCCCCCTCCTTCTGTCCTGCCAACACCACACACTGACTTTCCTCAGCCTCCCTGGAAAGGCGGCTATAGAAAAGAAGGGGTGGGTGAGATATGAGTTCAGATTCTGAAGCACTTCAATCAATTCGTAGATTTCCCAGCCCTTCTATCCTGCCAATGCCACACACTGATTCTCCTTCCTCAGTGGCAACAGACTGACTGAAGTCCCTCAGAGTCTGGACTCACTTCCTACCCATCCTCTCCACCTTCTTGGCACTTTCCCTTTTCAAGCACCCACTGATTGTAAGATGGACATTACATGTGTCTGATGTTATACCAACATTTAAAATATATATATATATATATATACTTATTTATTTATTTGGCAGAACCAGGTTTCAGTTGCAGCATGCAAATTTTTAGTTGGGGTATGTGGGACCTAGTTCCCTGACCAGGGATTGAACTCAGGCCCCCTGCATTGGAAGTATGCAATCTTAGCCACTAGACCACCAGGAAGTCTTCCCAAATCTTTTTAACAACTAAAATCCCACAAGCCGTGCGGTACATCAAAAAAAAGAGAGAGAGAGAGAGACAAAGAAAGAAAAAAGAGCTGTGCCATGTTGTTATTTGGATATTCTACCTAAGAAACAGCCAACACAACACAGATCAAATATAGTTCTTTCTATATTGAATGCATATTACATCAAGGACAAAAAACTGACATTGTTTTCACAACTGATTTGAGGGG